CATAGGGTTCCGACTGGGGCGGTGGCCTCTGCTCCGGCGTGGGGCCGGTGGTTTCCCCAGGCCCGGTGACCTTGAGGGTCAGTGATCCACCCCGCAGGCCCGCGGTTTCCGGAGTCGCGCGGCCGGCCCTTCCTCCCCGCCTCTCCGGCCAAGGCCGCCCAGCCTCGTCGCGCTCAGCCCGCCGGCTCCCGAGCCCGAGCGGGGGCGCGGGGGGTGAAAGCACCGAGGGCCTCACCCACGTCCTGCGGACACGCGCCCCGCTGGGGCCCGTGCTGGCGCTCCAGCAGCCTGAAATGGCCAAATCGTCCCTGGGCAAGGTTGGAGGCGAGGCTTTGGGAAGAAGGCGAGGAAAACAAGTGAAACGGGAGGGGCGGGGTGGGGTGACGGCTCATAAATCACCCAGCCCCACCCTCGGGCCTCACCGCAGAGGCGCCCCAGCCCCGCGGGAAATGGAGGGTCACTCGGCCACTCCTGGCCGACCTCTGAGCTCTCCCAGAGCCAGCGCCCCACCCTGAGCTCAGGCCGCGCTAGCACCAGCTCCCGGCCGGGATCGTAAACCACCCGCCCGATTCGGCGGGAAGCCGCCCTTGGACGCAACGCGCATCCGCCCAAGGGGAAGTTTATTTATAGCTTGTAAACGTAAAGGAAACCAGACCGCGCTGGCTCGCCGCGCTCCGGCTCCTACGCTCCCCACCTGCCCACCAGGGAGGGCGCGGCGGGAGGCGGAGGGGGTGCCTTAGTCTCTCCCTACTTCCCCCCCCATCCCCGCTCCGCTCCCGGCGGAGAACGGGGTAGGGTCCTAAGAGGCTGGCAAGCCTTAAATTCCTCTCGGGGTGCCTATCGGCGCCGTGAAAGCCAGAAAGGACAGAGGACAGGGCCCGGGCACCGGCGTGGCGAGGGTAGGGACGGCCGAGCTGTCCTAGTTGGCAAGCACCAGCCGGCAGGCCCGGCAGTGCAGCACGGGATTCCGCAGCTCCCGCTCCGGGCCCGGGGAAGTCCTGGAGAGCCCGGGATGGGGGCGCTCCGGGAGCTTCTCCTTGGAAGGCGGGATGCTTCCCCCGTTCCTCCCGAGCACGTGTCCTCAGCAGAGCCGGCAAGCGCTGCGCGCCTGGGGCTGCGATCCGCGGGTGACAGCGGCTGAGAGCGCCCCTCCCCAATCCCCACCCCCGCCGTCGCCGCTTCTCCTGTGGAGCTCGACGCTCTGGGGTGCGCTCGGGGCAGGCCCGAGGAGACGGAGAAAAGGAAAAGTGTTGGAGAGATTAGGGAGAGAAGACATTAAAAAGCCTAGCCCTGAATAGACGAGCACTCCCCCCCCCTCCCACCCCGGCCCCAGCGGCTTCTCCCAGTCCCAGCGGAGCGCACCCACCCCCAGCCTCGGCCCGGGCAAATTCGTGTGTATGTTGTCTGTGTGTGTGTGTCTGTCTGTCGTGTGTGTATCTCTTGTCTGTGTGTGTGTGTGTCTGTATGTCTGTCTCGTGTGTGTGTGTGTCTGTATGTCTGTCTCGTGTGTGTGTGTGTGTGTGTGTGTGTGCGCGCGCGCCCGCGCGCGCGCGCCGGGCGGGCAGTTGCGAAACGGGCTCTTGGCTGCAGCGCGGCATAATGGAGGTGGCTGGAACAATGCGCGCTTTGTGCGCGCGGGGAGTTGTTTTCCACCCGCCTCGCCCCCCTCGCTCGGGCCGTATGGCACTTTAATCCCCGCCACGGCTCGGCACAAATGCACTTGTGTCCTGCGGGTCACCGGGGGCCGTGCGGCTGGAACCGACCCCCTCCATCCGCGGACCCCACCGCCGGCTGCCCCATCTTCCTTCCTGCGCACCCACCACGGCCACGATTCCCGGCGTAGCCCGGTCAGCCGGCTTGGAAGCTTCCGGGCCCGCGGGCCACTTTTCTTTTCCGAGGAGACGGCGCGCACCCCACCCCCTTCCTTCGCGAGCTCACACAAACACACATTTGGGCCGACTGCAGGCCCCACACTCGCCGCCCTCCCTCTCCTCGCCTCCATCCCGCCCCCGCCCCGTGCTCCGGACTCCTGCGAACAATAGTAAATGTCAACAGATTCCGCGCGGCGAGTGTCTGACTCGGCCGAGATAAGGGTGCGCGGTTGGCCCCGCGCTCCGCGCCGCCGCGGGGGGAGCCCGCCCTGACCCCGGCAGGAAAGAGCCGGCTGTGACGAAAGCCATGCCCGAGGGGGGGGGGGAGGTCGGGGGATAGGAGGGGAGGCCACCAGTCCCAGCCCGGTGGGGGAGTCTCGCCGGGAGACCAGGCCCTGCCCCGCCCCCACCCGCTGAACCCGGTGCTAATCGGGGGCCGCTGGGCACCGGGAAAGCGGCCGGGTCGACGTGGCGCTCGGGCCTGCTTTCAGCTCACAATTCCAGTGCTCTGCGGACGCCAGAAAAACGCTGATCCGGATCGGGACGCGGGCAGTTTTCGCCTTACTGGGAGCCGGCACCCGAAAGACGCGCAAGATTCGAGTGCCTGTCTCCGGAAACTCATTAAAAAATTTTTTTTAAGCGCGCACACTTTCACAGGTCCTCCTCCCCGGTCGTCCGCAGCCCACCACCCAACCGAGTTAAAATTCGCAAATTGATTCTCACGCGTTGGTATTAATGGGTTGTTCCTCTTAAATTGTTGCCAACTTTGCTAATGGATTATTATTTAAATGATTTCTTTTTTATAAAGTACGTGTTGTTTTATAGATGCGTATTTACTTAAAGAAATCAACTGCATCTATTAACATATTAAAGAGAGAATAAAGCATCGGGGCCGGTGTAATGTACTGTTCAGCCTTACTTTGGGTGCTCGCGAAGATAGGAAAATCTTATTTGTTTAATAATAAGTCACTCATGAATATGCAAATGGCATCGGTGCAGTACCTCACTTCTGTCACTATTAATGAGTTGCAAATTAATGTGACAACAAAAGGAAAATCTATTTAGTGGAGGAACTCGGTTTCCTACCTGGGGAGATCACAAGCCGGCCGGGAACCTGGATCTCCAGGAAAGAAGGGAGCGGGCACGGATGCTTCCTCACCCAGTCTCTTCCTGGAGCCTCCGCTATTGTTTGGTCTCAGGGACGCGCATTATCGGGAGCCCCTTAAAATTCCTGCCCCGGCCCGAGGAAGAAAGGCTGCTCCAGGGTAATTAGGGCCAAGTGTGATTAATGGAAATCAGCCCACAGTTTGAAGTAAAGCAGTTGGTGAGGCAGATTTTGGAGGGGGAGTCTCCCCCTCCCCCCTCCCCGGCCCAGCTTAAAGATTCCCCCGAAGCCTTTTCGGCCTCGGTTGCTTTGGGCAGTTAGGACCCATAAGGACCAAATCAGGCCTCGCAGTTTCAGAGCAGAGCGGCTCAATTTCCTACCGACCTACTTCCCAGAGGTTACAGACTGCATTCTGCTTGGCTCCTTTCTGGCCCGCACATCACAGCCTGTTTTTATTTCATCGATGGATGCTGGAGAGAATGTTTCGAATCCAGTGAAGTTTGGAAACGTCTCTGAGAAAATAAATAAATAAATGCTGAGCTGCCCAGAGCCGTAGGCTAATAGTTCAGGTGCCTGGGTAGTATTTCAAGAAGCTGTTTGACTCAGGAACCTTCTGGGGAGGTGCAAATAGTCCATATCCAACCTGACTGACGGCTACACGGTCATATACAAATGTAAAAATTCATCGGGCTGCGCACTTAGGATTTGTACACTTTACTATGTGTGAGTTATATATCGTGTTTGGGCTATCTATGACTATGCGAGGCCGCCTCAAAGCTTAGTGGTGTAAACAATAATAATCATTTCTTTTGCTCAAGACTCTTGAGACGGCTCACCTCTGCGCCACTCCGTGTCAGCTGGGACAGCTCAGCTGGAACGCGGGGATCCGTTTTCAAGATGGCTCACGCCCACGGTTGGCCAGTTGGTCCTGGCGCTGTTTCTTCTCTATGTGGGCCTCTCCAAAGATCACTTGGGCCTCCTCGCAGCATGGTGGCTGGTTGCCAAGAGCGAGCACCCAAGAGAGAGGGGGAAATGGAAGCTGCCAGTTACTTAAGGCCTGACCGTGGAAGCTAGCGGTGTTAAATCCTGCCACAGTCTATTGGCCAAGCAACCCAGCTTCCAGGGGTGGGGACGTCATGGGCCCTTCCCTCTTATCTCTCAATGGGAGGTGAGTCAAAGAATCTTGGGGCTGTGTTTTAAAACTGACACGTAACTCACGTTAAATGAAAACAGAATATGTGCCTTCACGTTCTGCCTTATGTCTCACGCCTCCTTTACCCACGCGGGGCGCAAGCTCGCAAAGCGCGAGATTGTGATCTGGGCAGAAGTCAGATGCTTAACCGACTGAGCCACCCAGGCGCCCCTCATTTTCTGTTGAGTAATCCCTACACCCAACGTGGAGTTCGAACTGATGACTCCGAGATCATCAAGAGTCATATGCTCTACCGACTGAGCCAGCCAGGCACCCCTCCTAAACATTTTCTCAGTCTGAAAATAAAATTATAGGGGCGCCTGGGTGGCGCAGTCGGTTAAGCATCCGA